GTCGTTTGCGCGTTCGCAGACGACAAACGATTGGCGCCGGCCGGCTGCGGCTTTCACGTCTATAGCTTTGGAGCGCAGTTTCAACTGTAACGCGTCGACGCGCGTTATAGCGCATCATGGCGCGTCGGCGCCCGTCACAGCGCGTCCACGAGCGTCACAAAGTCTGAACACTGACGTAAAGGGCAGAAGGATTAAGTCTTCGCCGTCACTCAAAACGGGGAAACGTTTGTCGGTGTAAGAGCTGGTTATCGCAGTTCTTAATGGACATTTTGACCTTGCACTTGCACGAAATACCCTACCAGTAAAAAGCCATCCCGCTCGCGTGGGAAATTAGGGATAGAAGCTTGAAGTCTCCCGTTGGTGAATTCATTTGTGGATAGCACGCATTCTACTTCCATTCAGAATCGTAGTGGCTTATTGAATGCGATGTGGCCTATACAATGACTTGCGGGGGCCAGCCGATGTACAAGTCAGTGTTTTATCCTCCCAGACGAATCTGGTACCAATTTACCGAGGGTAGAAGGCTTGGTTGGCCTGGGCGGGTGTCGACCTGGGATTCGAACCCAGGACCGCGCGAGTGGTAAGCGCGCCACTTGTCACTACACCACCTCCGCCTCAACGCTTTTTAATGCTGATTTACTACCATGAATTAAGGGAGGCAAATGGGCTGCCTGCCACATGCGTGTGATTCGGCGGACAAATAACAAATTGGCTCTCGTCCGAATCAAACAAAGAGTCTCCCCATGGCCGTCGTACTATACTCGTCTGGGAGGACGAAACACTGCAAGTAATTGAACTGGTTGGTTAAGGTTTCTGTAGACGCTCACATTAGCAGCCGGGTAATTTTTTCTATTTTGTTCCAGCACAAAGAATTAAGACAGTTTTCAGGACTATTCCTGAAGGTTTCCATCTCACATGCGCCTCATTTTTGTGCGTGCCCCTTCCTTAGCACTAGATGAAAATGACACTGCTCCTTAGAGATGGGATAGAAATACGAAAACTGCAACAAAGTGTCATTTCTGAATGAACTGGACTTCAAGTAACCACTCCAAAAATTTTCGAATTGTTACAAAAGGCAAAACACTCAACGCATAGCCAACTCACCTTTTGACCGAGAAGCAGCTCTGGTGCGCGATACCACAATGTTACAACAACGGCCGTGTACGCTCTCAGTGGATCACCATACTCTCTAGCGAGACCGAAATCGGCAATCTACAAATATCATGTGTTCAATGGTTCATTGCCAGAGGTTACTTAAAGTGCTAACTCACCTTTAATATACCTTTGTGAGAAAATAACAAATTAGAAGTTTTCAAATCACGATGTAAAATCCAATTATCATGGAGGTGCTTCAATCCAGATAACAGCTGCCTCATTAATGTTTTTTGTTCGCCTGAAGCATGTTCGATCACTTAACTGAACTAAGTCACCCAGTTAACAATCAATGGCAAGTGCAAATACTGTGCGTGTGGAGAACAAGCAAAACGAACCAAATGAAAAACGTTTCCCGCGTTTGTGCATGGTATCCATGAGATTTTTCATATCATGCTCTACAAATTCCATAGCCAAATATATTTTATCCGCATTACTTCCTATCAATATCTCTTGTACCTGAAATGAACAAATCTGAAGTTTAAACATTAGGAGGATTAGCAAGCAACAGGATGGCACACTAACATTTACAATATTTTCATGTTTGCCAGCTTTCAGAAGCATGTTGATCTCCCTAAGAGCAGTGATAGGGAACCCTTCTCGCTCTTTCTCAATTTTCAGCCGTTTGAGAGCAACAATCTCATCTGAAACGACATTCAAATAACCAACAAAATTCAAAATTATACAAATGGAGGAGCAACGAATAACAAAGCTCCAGACAGTAAAGGTGTGGGGAACGATGAATGACGAAGCGCTCTACCTGTCATCTTCCACACTCGAAGATACAACAACATAAACATTCGAGGGTCAGGCTTATCAACTCTGGAGCTACGTTTCAGATTGTAT